GTACAAAGTGCCCGACCAGCAACGGAGGAAGCTGGATCCTAAGGCACAATGGGGCATTTTTCTCGGGGTGTCGGAGAGGAGCAAAGCTTGGATGTTGTGGAGTGTGGCGGTTCAGCGGGTGTTGGAAAGTAGGGATGTGGTTTTCCACGAGGGGCTGAGCTACAAGGGGTGGAAGGAGCATGGTGCTAGTACAGTTGGGAGCTCCCTCCAGGATCCCTACACCTCTTCCATCTTTGAGGGGGCATGGGAGCACCCTGGAGAGGAGGTAGAGGAGCAGCAAGAGCAACAAAAGGCAGCTGCACCTCACCATGAGGAGTCACCAACTGCTGGTTCTACCCCTGACCCTAACGCACCAGCCCATGACTCACAGCAGCAGCAACAAGAGAAGCCGCAGCAGCCACCACAGGAGCATGCACCGCCTGTTCCTGTGGGTAGGTGGCAGCAACTACTGCAGCAACAGCTGTCCAAGTCACCACGGTCCCCCATGAAGAGAGTGACTTGGAAGGAGAAGCTGCAAAGTTTGGATCAGGGGGAGGCATCACCTCTGCGCCGCACCACACGCATCTCCCGGCCACCTGAAAGGTTCACACCAAGTGCACAGTATGCTTGCATGCATGATCATGAGGTGCATGATTTGGAGGAGTGCATGCTTGTGGATGCTGAGGGGGTTGAGCTTGGGCTTGATTTCTGTCTCATGGGTCAGGTGCATGAGCCTAAGTCGGTCAAGGAGGCCTTGTCCCGTCCTGAGTGGGTCGAGTCCATGCGTGAGGAGCTTGAGTCTCATAGGGTGAACGAGTCTTTTGAGCTGGTTGATCCAGCTTGTGTGCCACCTGGAATGGAGGTCTTGAGGTGTCAGTGGGTGTGGAAGTATAAGCACATGGCTGATGGGAGTATTGAGAGGCCTAAGTCCAGGTTGGTGGCCATGGGGAACACTTAAATACGAGGCGTTCACTATGACCAGGTATATACCCCGGTGGGTAAACCTACCACCCTGAGAGGTTCCCTTGGGATGGCAGCATCCTCGGGGTTTCACATCCATCACATGGATGTGACCACTGCCTATCTTCATGGAGTCTTGAAGGAGGAGCTTTACATGAGGCAGCCACCTGGTTTTGATGATGGGTCCGGCAGAGTTTGCCGACTCAGGAAATCAATCTATGGGCTAAAGCAAGCTCCAAGGCAGTTGTACCTCAAGTTTGATGAGGCGCTGATGGATTTTGGGTTTGAGAGGTCGGAGTATGACCCCGCCTTGTACCACTTGGTGAGGCATGAGGGCAGGCTGTCCCTCTACCTCTATGTGGATGACATTCTGCTCATGTCTTCGAGCATGGTCTTGCTGGACGAGGTAAAGGGTCTCTTGTCCTCTCGTTTCCGCATGAAGGACTTGGGGGAGGCTAAGTACTATTTGGGGGTGCAGATTGAGCGTGATGAGAGTGGCATCTTGATTCATCAGGAGAGGTACATTCTCAACATGCTTGAGACCTTTGGCCTTTCTGAGGCTAACCCCGTGCGTACCCCTCTCCCTACAGGGTTCGACGTGCATGCACATGCTAAGGAGCCCTTGCTGCGAGATGAGCTGGTCCAGCTCTATCAAAGCATTGTGGGGTCTCTCATGTATGCAAGCACGACCACACAGCCCCAGATTGCTTATGCAGTGTCACAGCTGTCCAAGGTGGTGTCTTGTCCCAAGGCATTTCACTTGCAGGCTGCTAAGAGAGTGCTAAGGTACCTGAAAGGTTGTGTCAAGTCAGGTATCTTCTACCCCGCACACAGCAAGCCTCAGGTTGAGTTGGTGGGCTTTAGTGGTGCTGATTATGCTGGAGATTCATCTGATCGCAAGAGTCAGACCGGCTATGTCTATTGCCTTAATGGTGCAGCCATCTCTTGGCAGAGCAAGAGGCAGCCGGTGGTTGCATTGTCCACCACTGAGAGTGAGTACATCAGTCTGTGTCAGTGCATTCAGGAGGGTGTGTGGCTGAAGCGCCCGTTCGGGGAGTTTGGGAATGAGTTTGCTGGTGGAGTGCCTGTGTTTGTGGACAACCAGTCTGCCATTGCCCTTGCACAGAATGCATGCTTGCATGGCCGCACCAAGCACATGCAGGTTCGGTGGCATTTCATCAGGGAGATGGTGGCGTGCGGCGAGGTGATCCTCCGGTGGTGCCCCACCAACCGTCAAGCAGCAGATATACTCACCAGACCCCTCCCTTTTGAGCGGCATGGTGTGTGCATGTCCTTGATGGGGATGCAGCCCCATGTCAGCATGGTGCCTGAGCAGGATGTGGGAGGACTGGTGCTTCTCTGCCTTGACGACCTCATGCTGTGGATGGCGCCCCTCCCTGTGCAAGGGGGAGTGAAGTGAAGGATTTTGCCCAGTGGTGTTCAGCCACCTCCAGCACGAGCAACGGGGAGTGTTGATTGTGTAGGTGGTTGTGGTATTTTTCTCTAGCTGGTTGTGGGCTAAGGGTTTGGGCAAAATGTGGTGGTTAGACTTGTTGCGGGCTGGAATTGATCTCGCACCCAACAAGCACCAACAAACCTTTGCTATTCACTACAACACCTTTGGTGTTGCTAGTTTAGCACTTTGGGTTGTTGGGGATTGTTGTAGGGCGAGGGTTGGGTTGGTAGGGTTTGAACAACTCGTCACTTTGCAGATCTGAACTCTTGCTAAAGCTACTTTCTTGATCTAATCCATGGCTGCCAAGTAATTTCGCCAGGATACCCCGTTGCACTTAAATCGCGATAGCGATCGGCCTAGATCTTGGTTGAAGGCGTGCGTTACTATTCTGGAAAGTAGAGATTAAGCCATTTCCAACGCGTACCTGCTCATTGTTTATGGTTACGTGAGCTGCACGCAATGTTCCGTCGAAGTCGGCGGACTTAATCTCTTGTACGCTCTCCAGATTCGCTCGCTTTCCATCATCTACTGCTAGTGGGAAGAAGCCAACCGTCTCAGGGCGGTTGGCGTAATAATTGATTTTCTTGCCACCCATCCCCTGCCTTTTTGTGCTTCCGGGTCCCTAGTGCTGATAGGGTTGGTGATGGTTACGTCACAAATGTAAACTGCCCCACTGCTTCTATCTGTCATGGTGAAGTCGGCCGTTTGCTCCTCGATAGGGCAGTAGGCGGCCGACTCCTTGTGCACTATAAACCCCGCGTCCTGCGCCATGCTAACGCAGGCATCCCACAGCTCGTTGTGTGTGTCGTGCGGTGCTTGCCCGTACCGCAGCGGAGCAGGTGGTTCGGGAGGCGAGGGTCAGTGATAGTCGTGTGGTCCGCGCAGTCACAATTCTTGGGAGTGGAAAACGGCAGGCCGAGTCGGAAGCGCACAGCGTTGGCGAAGTGCACTGGCCCTATCCACCGTGTGGAAGCGATGGGGATCGCGGTGAGCCAGTCACCAGTGCCGTAGCCAGTCAGTGAAAACATCCGCTGCGTTTGGCCTGCGAGCGGATTCGGCTTCATGCGCCTCATCGCCTGCACCTGCTTTGCGTATCTGCTCCCGTGAACCTTGAGTCCTAGCACGTGCTGGAGCCGGATGTCAGACCTTTCGAGCCGCTCCTTTTCCAGTATCTCTCGCGCATCTAACGGCAGCGCCTCGTCGCACTCGGTCAGCCAGGTGTGTAGCGGTGTGCTGTCAACCCGCGGCATTAGCATGTGATTCCGTGCGAGCGTCAGAGCGTTCTCCTGATCTAACGGTAAGCAGCTGAGAAAGAGCGCCGCCTGTGTAAAGCTCGCTGTGAAGCCGTATATCCCCTCAATTAGGGGGTCTGTGATGCCCAGTCCTCCTAACGATGGCGGCAGCGACGCTTGTTCCCAAACCCGTGCTTGTTCGGTTCTACACGTCGTAACGCGGATATCGCATGATGTGAGGAGCGTGGTGAGCAGATCCCTACCCCACTGGCTCCATCAATCTCGGGGGAGGAGGTGGAGGGGCGTCGTCCTGGTAAGGTAAGCGACTCGTCGCGAGATGCATCGCGTAAGTAGCAGTGCTGCTACCTGGGGGTCTGCTCGCTCGAGAAGGGGTAGGGGCTTTGTCATCTCGGCGAGTTGTCCCGCTAGGAACTGGGCTGCGCCGCTGTCAGGCCCCACGAAACTACCCAATAGCCGCACGCCGTCTTTAGAGAACGGCACTCCTGGCGGGAGGCGAGCTGGATTGACTGTGCTTGAGCTCAAGGCTGCACACTTCTGTGGGTTATGCTCGAGGCCCAGGTGCGCCAACTTGGTCGTGAAATGTGTAAATGCTGCTACAGTGCGAGCTGTGTCACCCAGGAAGGTGACGTCGTCCGCCTTATCCAAGCAAAGCACGTCGGGGTGTGCTTCGGCTGTTTCGCGAAGTGTGGCGTGTATCCCTGCTGCGAACAGGAGCGGGCCAAGTGGGTCTCCTTGGCGGACGCCGCGTTTGCTTGTCAGTGGTTCGCTGTTGAAGGTGGAGTTCAGTAGCAGTTGCGACGGGTTACCATACGTTAGTTTCACTAGTGGCAGTAGTGGCGAGAGGGCGGGCTCTTATAACGTGTTGGCGATAGCTTCTCGCGAAATGCTGTTGAACACGTTTGAAATGTCGGCTTGCAGGACCAGGCTGTCCGGGCAGGCATCCAAGAAAGCCCTGGCTACGTGGATTACTGCCTCTGCTCCACCTGGCACTGCCACCCCGTACTGTAGTGGCAGAAAAAAATCGCGGACCTATTCTCCCATGGCTAACAGGGCAGCCTTGGCTGCCAGCCTCGTCAGACATTCGCCGATCGCTATTGGCCTAGCCCCTCCCCCCGGCTTGGCGAGGGCTATGAGTCGTGACGCTGTCAGAAGGTTTGCGACCGAGCCTGGCAATTTTCCTCCCAGCATGGTGTTAACCAAGGCGTGCAGATGGGTGCTGACCATTGCGTTGGTGATCGCCGCGTCGCGCAGGTGCTCGAATGTCATGCCTAGCGGTCCGGCTCCCACACCATTCTCGCATCTTCCCAAAATTTTTGCGAAGTCGGGGTGGGGGATTGACAGCTTTGACCCTTATGGCTCGGGCCATGTCACTGACTCGTGTGCAGCAGGTGGGTGCTTTTGGCGCAGCTCCTCCAATATTTCCGGGTTGGGTGTGCAGACGGGCGTTGACTCCAGGGCCAGCACGGCTCGGCGCAGACTGCCACGTTTCGCCAAGCCCTCCGCACGGTTGATGACTCCAGTCGCATCTGGCTGGTGTCGCGGTGGTGGCGGTGCGTTGACTGCGTCCAACGCGTCCTGGTACAACTGCTCCCATTCGCCACGCTGGAAAGCTCGGAGCCTGGCCTTGACACTCGGCTAGTTCGGTCGTTGTGGCGAGGTCTGGCGAAGTGTCAAGCGCGGGAGAAACAGCAGCAGGCGCCATCCCGTTTCTGATTCGGGGTTTCGCAATAAGTGGAAAAACGGTGTCAGTAGCGCTATCGAAAATAGTTGACACAGGTTTGGCGGTAAACGCCGCGACAGTGAAGGCTGACGGCTGTCGCATAGTGTTGCAGTGTCCCAATTCACGATGGCAGCGAACAGATCCGTCCGCTTTGCTAACTCGTCAGGTGAAAAGTAGCGGGGAATTGGTGCGGGAGCCGGTGTCGTGATACCGGCAGTGGCGGTCCGATTTTGTCCAGCACGGCTTGATCTCGCCGGTGAGCTCAATGTTGGATTTGCTACCGTCCGATCGGCATCGGACGGTGGTTGAGCCCTCTGTGGTACTTGCGAGTCTGTCTGCCCTTCTACCGCTTCCCTTCTCCTTGGTCTCTCCCTCACCCTGCTTCCTCCTCCATCTCCTCGCCCTCGCTCTCGAGGAGGGCTTCTTCCCTATAAGAAGGGTCGTTTGACTCATCCTCTTCATTAGTTGCCTCCATATTATTTAAAGCCGTCCGTGCCGCTGCCTGATACCCGTTCTCCGGTCCTTCGCCTGTCCCGCTTACAGTTTGTCTCCTCGCCCCGCGGCCTCCCTGCTCCGGAGATGGTGATTGCCGGTGCACCTGAGCCGTCGCCAGAGCTCGTTGCCGCCTGGTCGGCTGTGGCCGCCAAGCCTCTGCCGGTGCTCGAAAGAGGGACCATGGCGACGAAGCCCCCTGTACCGCCGGCTCCGAAGCCCGTGACAGCAGACGCTGAAAGGACTCTTCCCCACGTACCCGCGGCTGGCCCGTCTGCCCCTGTTGTGGTTCCGTCCGCTCCGGCTGCTGCTCCTGGTCCCCTGGCTCCTCCTGTCGAGCCGCCGGTGTCTGCTCCTGCCGGGGTTGTTTCTGACCCCCCTGGTCCTGTCCCTGGTGCCTACGTTGCACCACCCGCTTCTGTCCCCGATGTGACTGCTCCTGCTTCTGCTTCGTCACCAAAGGCGGCGTCCGCCACCACTGGCGGACCTGCTCCGTCGGTTGCGCCCCCACAGGCGGGTCAGTCCGCGCTTGCTGCGACGCCGATGGCCCCGGCAGGACAGCCGTCACGCCCCCCGTCTCCTGACCGCCGCCTGTCTCGCCCCCATTCACCCGCGCCCCACCAGGAGCGCAAGTCGTCTCGCCGCCGGCGCGATTCTCCACGGCGGTATCAGCAGCAGGCTCACTGGCCTGCTCATCTCGTTGGCCAGGGGGACTGGAGGGGTCCCCGCGGGCGCGGAGGTGGGGGTTACCGTCCGCCAGTGACGATGGCGGATCTTCAGCGGGAAGTGTCGAGGGCAGTACGCGAGGAGAGGGCGGCGCAGAGTCAGAGCAGTTCGATGCGCGCCTCACCAGCCCACGAGGCTCCCCGCCAGCCTGCGCTTCCGTTGAGTCCACCGCCTGTCGCTGCACCCCCTCCACATGTTCACCTCCCAACGGCTGCTGCTCCCGCTGCCTCGGCACCCGCCCCTGGGTCACGTCTTCACCTGCCGCCGGTTCCGCCTGTTGCGGGGGCCGAATCTGTGACCGCGGGTGGCGGCGCGGTGGCGGCGCAGTACTCGCATCCTGTTGTTGCTGATGAGCCACTCCTGTTCCTGGCGGAGGCGCTTCAGCCTCCGCAGACACGTGTCCCAGAGGTGACGCTCGGCCAGCTCCACCGCCTCGCGAAGAGTCTCCACGCGTTGCTGCTGATTCAGGTGCTTGCTCACTCGTCTCTCCCCGTGATCCCTCGTGAGACCTTCCGTGGCCGCCAGCGTGAGATCTGCCTGGACGCAGCAGACCAGCTCGCAGTGCTGCTGGCGCGCGTGCTGGCTGCGCCCGTAGAGGGTGGCACTGCTGCTGCGGGACAGCTTGACGAGGCTGTCCGGGGCTTGAGGCGGCATTTGCGCGCTGGATCTGGAGCCGCGGCGATCGGCGCAAGCACGCTTTTGGTCCGGGAGCTGTGGCGCACCCTGACGGGCGTTCTTCACGCCCTTGGAGCTCACCGCATGTAGATGCGGGCTCCGATTGCCCAATTGATGCCATGCTTGTCTAGGATGTTGCAGAAATTGCCATTGCGTGTATTCCTTTGCTTGTAGTTAATTGCGTGTGTTCCCTCTTGCCGCCCCAAACGCGTGGCCGAAGGCCGCGCTGTCGAGCGTCGGCCGCTGAAGGCGGCCGGCGCGAGCCGCTCGGTTAGGAGAGCAACCTAACCAAGAACTGAATAATGAGGCTCTAGGACTAGATCCTACTGCATGCATTCGATTCCTCCTACTTATCTTGTCCCGCTTTCCCCGTCTACCGCTTATCCCACGTATACTATCCCAGCATGTCCCCCTTGCCGCTTTGCCTCGTCCTCCATATCCACTCCGCCTTGCCTGCCTTAGATTCCTCCTACTCACCTTGTCCCCATTCCATCCCCTGCTTGCCACACATTGCCTCTTTCCTGCTTGTACCACATCCCCCCTTCCCTTATTGTCGAAATTGCTCTCTGCTCAGGCTGAGTGTACCGCGCATATGCCGAGTCGTCTGCGCTCTCAGTGGCTTCCGACGTGATCGGATCTTAGGTGATATCCCGGCTTCGCCTCTTTCCTTTCTACCTCAATAACCCACCGCCACGCTTCCATCGGTAACCGTCTCCTCTCACTTCTCTTTTTTTTCTCCCATACATTCAGCATCGGTACCCTAAAACCTGTTATTTGCTTAGCTTCTGGCATTTGTTGCTTCTTTTTCTATGCCGCATTTGTTGTGTCTCTTTCCTTGCCGCCCAAGGCCGTATCCTGCCTTAAATGTCTTATGTTGCAGTTACCTCGCTGGTCTTCATTTGCTGCTGCCTTCTTAGTCCTAGTGTACTGTTTTCTTGCTTGGCATACATGCCCATGCCTTCGTTGTCTTTCTCTACTAATGCTTTGCTTGTTTCACTTTCCCGTTTGTACACAAACTTTACACACAGGCAGCATACCTGCTGACACTTCTGCAAGATGTACGGTCAGAGAGTGTGCACAGCGTAGATGGGATGGGTTTGGATGGGTTGGGCGCATGAGGGGGGGTTAGGGGATTGGACTACGCAGCAATTGCAGTGAGATGGCCGCACGGGTGCACATGGGTCTGGGTGCACAAACCACACTGCTTGTCCTGTGAACACTCTGCCCAACTAGGACTTTAACCAGTCTTGATTTTCACTTTCCATCATTCACATGCCCTGACTGTATCAGTTTCCCTCTGACTTGCCTGAATCAGTTTCACTTCTGGATGCATTGTTCATTAGGGAGTCTCATGACGACAGGGACGACGCGGGCAACTGATGGGACAGGATAAATACATCCGTCCTACCATCGCACGGACTCCAAATCATGATCACAGTTCGCTCGAGTGGACAAGGCAACATTTGGCCAATCTACTTGACGCTGGCAAATCTGTCAGTGAGGCCACGACCTCCTCGTGTGTGAGCTTATTTCCGTGAAGCACTCATGGCCAGAATACAAGTAATGCGTTATTGGATGGTTGCTGGTTGACTATGTTCTCTTAAGAATGTCTTAATAACTCTAATTGATGTGATTTGTTTAATATCACGCAGATAACCAATCGGCGTCATCATCCACAACCGAATTTGTTTACAATGCTTGATGAACGTCACCGTTTAATAAGAGAGGCGGCGACCAACGTCACAGTGAGTGTGAAAATACTGTGTCCTATGTCCATCAACTATGTGTTCTAATCTTGCATCTTGGACCTGACTGTGTAAAATTGTTTGTTCCTGTGCAGCTTCCAAGGGCACGGGATGGATATATTCCTGTGCCGGTATTGCGGTAAAGGGCTAGATTGTGAGTTAGCGATACTGAATCACCAGTGGAGCAATAAGGATTGCTTAGAGATTCAAGAGTGGAGTGCGTTTAGCATTGGGACACGTGACGATTTAGTTCCTCCATTACATCAAGCTCAGTTTAATACTCCATTCCCGTTCGTGCTTGGAGTGCAAGAACTGGTACCGGACTGGGCACTTTTGGATAACAACTTAGCCGATGATGCAGATGTTTTTTTTTTAGTCGAGGCAGTGTTTGGGGAAGAGGAGGTTGAACGTAGGATATTTGACACGAAACAAGAGACGTATGTTTTTGGAGAGCTGCAATAAGGGAATGGGGATGAGTTGCCCTGACACCAGCTACTTCTTTCGATTAGTTAAGGATCCGGACTTTGATCCAAGTGTGTTTAGAGATTGGTCTACTAAAGCTGCGGTAGATCGTTATGGAATGGAGGAATTGGGTATTACGAAACAACAATTCAAGACAGTAGAGATCTCGGTAAGAGGGTGGCCTACAAAGTTTCTGGTCAAGCATGTCGACCTGAAAGAGGTAACTGTGGTGCCATCTGTTGAAGTTCTTACCATGTTCTTTTTCTTGAAACACATCTGATTCATTGTGCACTTCTTTCTCTCAGCCATTGGACACGATGTGGAGAGATGAGCGTAACAGACCAGGGTTCACTCATCATGCCCAGAAGAAAATGGTTAAAGGAGTTCGGATGTACGATGATGTTCACAACGGTAACTACTGGTTGGAAGCACTGGTGAATATATGCAGATCAATGTTATTTTTATATGCTTGAATTGGTTAAATGTGAACCCTGGTTATATCTCATATGTTCTGTGCTTCACACCCCTGCAGAAAGGGCTGGGTCCAAAAGAGTGTGTTTGCACACTCATCTTCTTAAGTGATGAAACCACATTGAGTGGAAATGAGCGATGCCGAGCGTGGCCTGTATATTTAACATGTGCTAATCTGCCTGTAGAAACAAGGTGGACAGATCATGGTAAAGCCTTGATTGCTCTGCTTCCTCGTCCTGATCCAGAAATGGAGGCCTGGCAGAAGGTAGAGCTCTTCCAGAAAAGTTGTGCTGCTGTCTTCGCTACTATATCAAGCTTTTGGAAAAAGTGTGTAATCATATTTTTGTGTATCTTTCTTTACTTGCTGTCTTTCTCATGTCATAATTTAATACCCCTGTATGTGCCTTATACAATTCCCTTCCATTGACAGATCCATACAGCAATGTTTTCACCGTACGACCGAAGTTGTTTCAGTATGTCGCTGACTACCTTGAGACGTGCAAGGTGATCTGCACCATGCAGCACAACTCGGCAAGACTCTGTTACGTGGAGAAGAACCAGCTTGATGTGATGGACCCAGGCATCGTTGACTATCGGACCGTGGAGCGGCAAAATAAGTATGCCCAAGACGCCAAACTTGCGAAGGAGTATTCGACAGTGATGATGGATGTGAGTATTGTGTGATGCGCCCCTCTAGAGTTGGAATGCTTACCATGTGTTTAATTATGCTCCACCCTATTAATCCGAGAATTCGCTGGTTTGTTTGAAAATGCTTAATATGATTACCATGCATGCTTATTGTCACCTCTCATATTATCTCAAAAACTTTCACTCTGTTTTTTGCTGTGTAAATGATTTGACCTAAAGACATTTTTGTGGCATTTTGGAATGGAAAGAGAAGCATCCAAAGCCTGGGGAAACCCATATAGGGTTATTTTGCCTAATGTACTCCATGTGATACTGATAGGCCTGTGGGTGTATATCTTAGAAGCCCTCGTCTACAACAACAAGAATGTTAAGACGATGAATGAGTAAGCGTTTTCTAACCACCCTTTTGTCAACCCTGTTTCTCCATGGATACACTAGATGCTGATTTTGTTCCGTGTGGTGTACGCAGGCGACATCGAGATTTACATAGGGAAGCTCGATCTGCAGGCATCAAAATCCCCCCTCTGGGGCATTATTTCAGCTTAGGTGCGAATTATTCTGCTTCCGATCATGCTGGAATGTTGCGGGTAAGTATGTTTACATGTGCAGATCCTTTCCTCTCATGGCTCTGACAATAACGTATCTCTGTCTTTACTCTGGTTGTTTGTGAGTTAACCCTAAACATAATCCGGTGTGAACCTATTCTTACAGGTGGTTGTTTTCATCATGGAAAACCTGATTAGTGGTGCAGCAAGACAAAATAGAAACCGCGCGCGAGACACAAACGACCGCGTAACACGCGTCTAGCGATAACTCGCTATTGACTCGACACACACACTCGACATCATGACTCAACATTCACACACAATTATAAGCATGAAATATATATTATCCCATGCCCTCATACCATTCCATACACACACACATTCACGCACACGGACAACAAGCCGAGTGCAAACCGTAGGGTTGCACCAACAAACTCCCCCTCGGATTGTTGGCCTTAGGATATGTTGCTCTCTCAGTTCAGAGCCATCCCAGCCAGCTTGCAACACTTCCAATGCTGCTGCTCCACCAGCCTCTTGGTCATCATGTCAGCCGGCTGCCCCGTGGTCTTCATGTAGCGCAACTCAACTTCACCCGCGGTTACCATGCTCCTCGTCCAATGCCACTTCACCCTCATGTGCTTCGTGAGTCCATGCAACACAGGGTTCTTAGCAAGAGCAATGGCACCCTGTCTGTCACAGTACAGTGGGGTAGGTCCTTGCTGCTCCTCCCCCAATTCAGCCAACAAATGCCGCTGCCACACAATCTCCCGTACGGCACGGAAGAGTGCCATGTACTCGGACTCCACCGAGCTCAAAGCTTGGTCAACCTGCTTCTTGCTCTCCCAAGCAGTTGGGCCTCCACCAACACAGCATATGAAGCCTCCCACACTTGTCATGTCCTCTGGTTCTGATGCATATGAAGCATCCGAGTAGGCGGTGAGGAACAAACGCCCGGGTTCAACACCATCCGCGCCCTTTTGGCGCCTTTGTGCCGCCGCCGAGTATTGCAGCCCAACGGTCGGTGTTTGGCCAAGATACTTGGCCACCCTCATTCCAGCTGCTACCTGCTCCTCATTAGGGCATTGCACAACCCTAGCCAGCTGCCCGGTAGCAAACGCGACGTCCGGTCGGGTGTTTACCGCCGCATACATGAGGCTGCCCACCAACGAGTGAAATCGGCGCCTCTCCTCTTCACCAACGCTCTCCTCCTCTGGTCCCT